CCAAGAGCTGAGTTATTCTTTATTGAAGGTAAATATCGTTACTTATATGCATGATTTTACAGACTAAAAATCGTACTCATTTTTCTTATTAATACTATCCTTCTTTTTTACTCTATTTTCATATAATACTTTTTGTAACTATTTACCCAATAATTCCTTTCATTCTGATTTTAATGATCGTTCCCATTTTTACAAAAATAAAAATAATAAAAATAATAAAAATCATAATAATAAAAATAATAAAAATCGAACACTGTGCAATGTCAGATGGTAACACACCGGGAGGGGAAATTTCGACTGTTACAACTCTCCCAGCCTTATTTTTGAGTTTCACAAGAACAAAAATACAAAATGAAAAAGAAAACTAAAAAAACTAATAATGTAAAAAGAGAACAAAAAGAAAATTAGAAAAAACAACAATACAAGAGAAGAAGAAGGAGAAAAAAACTGCTATAAATTTATATTTTCGATTATCTATATGCTAGGCTACCAGATTTCTGAACTTCTAGATCTTTTGCTTTTAGCTCCGATTCCATTTTGGTAACAATAACCAACTTCAAGTTGTCTATCCCAAAAGGAATACCTTATCGAGTACTGAAATACTAGTCAATTCATTCTGCTTGTCTTGTATAATACTTATTTACGTGCCAGTACCAGGCTAATTTTGTAACTTACACAGGTATCCTTTTCAGAATTCACATTTCTATCGCATGTCAGGATGGATTTTTTCTCATCTTATGTACCCCACCTTACATATAGAAGCCAGTATCCTTGTTACATCCTTTTTTCTAAGTTAATCCTATTTCCTACTAATTATTACTTTTCTAATTTCTTAGAATTCAAACTAATAGTTCTGAATTCATTTAACACTTGAATGTTCTTGTTTATTTTTAAATTAGTTTTATCTTTTTAAACTTCGATTCTAGTTTTCAATCGGCTGTATTTCTTAGAGGCCTTTTGAACTTTCGATTGTTATTTTCATTTTGAATAGGGTTCTACAACCCGCCCTATTCTATCCTGACCAACCTCACTCTATCATCAGGTCTACTTCAGCTTTATCAGTATTCAAAATCAAGCATTACATTTCTGGTTAACCTTTCATTCTCAGCTTTGTTCTTATAACAATAACCAACTATAAATTTACAATTAGCCTTGTTCATTTTGACGAACTTTATATTCTATTCAAATATTGTCTTTTTATCTTCAACTTTACTTATGCTGTCATTTTGTTTATCTGAGCTACCATTTTTAGTATTCTTTAAATATAATTTAAATATTACTTGCTCATCATAAAACTCTTGATTATAATCAAATTCCTTATGTTTATCTATTTCAACTCAAATCACATATTGATAACAATATCCAACTACATCCATTTTATCGATACCATCTATATTAGCAAGTTTTTGATAGTTATTGATTGCTTTATATTAATCCTTGTTATTCCAATTTCTGGTAAGATAACTGTTTGTATTTCCTATTTTTGGTGATTTTTTATAATATTCTAGCGCTTCCTGTTTATTTATAGCATTTTTGGGTACCCAATTAATTACGTTGGATCTGAGGAAGTGAGTATTCTAATACTAGCCATTATTATATACATAAAAACAATAATAGGATGATGCTAACTAAGGTAACCACAGGCTTTATTATATTTTTGTCTTTGCCCTTATCTTGATATATTTAATTAGTGCCTTTTATTTTTCTATATTTATCTGATCCTTTACTGTGAGTGGGTTTTAAAATTTCTTTATTAAGCCTTACTTCTATATGACCAACATCAATTTTAGATAAGTAGTTTACAACTTTATAATTATTTAAATTTACATCTTGCTTATCTACTAACGTTAGTTTTGTAGAACTAGGTAGACTTCAAAGTTGTTCGACGTTTCTATCCAAACTGCATACTGGGTTTTGAGCATTTTATTGCTTGATTCCTTCTGCAATTTATAGATTTGACTATTTGTGGTTCTAGCTTTTATGATATTTGTATTATTTGTTGCTGGGTAAGTTGAATAACTATATAATTCTTCACACTCTATTTTTAATAGGTAGTTTTTGTCCTCTTTATCTCTAATTCTATTTTTATTTCAATTACAGTGACCAACCAATTTTTGATGATGTTCAAACACCTTCCTTTTATGCGAGCCCTCAGGTATGATTCTGATCTTTGTTTCATTCTTTTGATTCAATTTATCAAATTTCACATCTATTACACTACTTTTAACAGTTTTATCAATACATTCGAACTTGCATCTGTAATCTTTCAGATCTTTATTATCCACCATTTGAATATCAGGTATGTGTTTTTTGTCAGGTCCATTTCTATTAATGTTCTTTTCATTCATCTTACTAACAATTCTATTCTTTTTTACTTTGTCATTTATTGCATATTCTTCATCTACCATTATTTTATTACTCATAGATTCTTCTGGAATCACAAACGTTGCTTTGTTATAGCCAGATCGAATTGTATAGCGATATTTTTCATTTTTCCATGTGATATTACAATGTACCTTTATTACCCATGATATTCCAAGGACAACATTAGATAGTAACTTATTATAACGTAAAATGTTTGATTTACACCAACACCACATATGGCAACATCAATGTCTGAAATACATCCAATGACTTTATTGTCTATATAACCAATGGTTAATCCCTCTTTCAAACGTCTCCAGGTAAGCCCTTGCTTTTTCACATAATTTATACTTATCAGATTTATACTTAAACCAGTACTAATTGATGCTTCTGCTGCTTGTCCATTTATTTTTACCAACTTTTTCATCACCATATTATTATCAACTTTTTGCTCCATTTCATATTTTCTATTATGTTTCAAACCTCCATAATTCTCACTGCTAAATTCTATGAAATGTACTTCTATACAGTCAT